TTACCCACCCACCTGTGCAAGACAGAACCTTTGAAGTCATCTTTAACTATTCCTTCTTCCTCACCTCCTACATCCAATAAATGTCTCTCAGTTTTCATTTTCACACTGCCTTTCATGCTACTATTTTAGACTTGCCACAAATTCTAATTTGGCTCTTATTTGAAATACACTGAGACATACTTAACTGGTCTTTCTACTGTAGAAATTTAGTCTTCTAGCCCATGCTCTACACTGCAACAAGAGTGATATTTGTAAAACATAATTCTGTCTATATTTCTACCTAACTTGAAAACTCTTAAGACTGATTCCAAATGTCTACAGATAGCATCCTGGGTTCTTCATGATCCTTATCCTTTTGTAGCCTGAGGTCAATATATTCTCCCTCTTATACTCTGTGTTGCTGCTAGATTAAGTGGCTTTTGGTTCCTTGACTGTTCTGTGCCTTTCTTGCCTTCCAGCTGGTCAAATAGTGATTTATCTTCTTAGATCCCCTTCTAATATCTTGTCCTAACCAACTTCTGATCATTCTTTAGAATTCATCTTAGAGGTGACTTCTTGCAGGAAACCTTTGTTGTTGTCCCCATGGCAAGGCTGCTCAGTTGTGTCTCTCACATGATTCTCTAGTACCCCTGCATGTATATTTATTTTAGTCAATATCGCACACTATTGTAATTGTTTGTTTATGTGGCTTCCTTTCAATTACATCGTAATGCTGTATTTTATTTGTTACTGCAGCCCTATTATCAAGCATAGCCTTGCTTCACCTATTGAGGGCAATTTATAAATATTTGTTTAATTAACTAGTAATAGAATGATTGAGTGACTGACTAAATGAACTTATTGGCAAACATTCATAAACCAATTTGGAGCACAGTTTTAGGTTTTAGGTTTAAGTGCTCAGCTCAACAGAGCTATAATGTTGGGTTTAATTAAGACAATGTTTTGTAATAGGAAGGAAATAGTATTGAAAATTTTCTTTAAATAAACCTGTATGACATTATATACTAGGCATTTTTTGAACAGTTTAGCTCTCTATATTTTTATATGGCAGTAAGTAGAATAAAATTCTTTAAAGAAGAAGTGTTGGGTAATTATTTCATTGCTGCTGTACATTCTTCTGTATTATTTGTTGTTTTTTTTAACTTGGATCGAAAAAGTTTAGATAAAAATGCCTTGATATTCTGTTAGACAAATAGTTAGGTGTCACAGTAGTTTATATAGAGTACCTGCTGTATTCCAGGCACTGTGTTGGATATTTTATATACATTCTTTTATCAGTCTCTCCTCCCCCAAATAACTGAAATAGGTATAATTGTTCTCATTTTACAGATGGAGGAATGCAAGATTTGGAGTGTAGTGACTAGAGTAAAAACCAGAACTCCGTATGTCCCCCAACATGTGGGCCGAACCTATCTCTTATTTCAATTTTATTTGATTTGTAGGACAAATATAGATGAAATCTCCCCTCACCTCTCACTTATATGTGGAATTAAGTAAAAATCGTATAGCTTTAATACATTTTTGTCCATAATAAAGTATAACTGAGAATATGGGTTCTATGTCTTAACCATATAGAAGTAGAAGTTATTTAACAATAGGAATGCGAAATCTATAGATACTAACAGATGTGACATAAAATATGGCAGAAAACGTTAAATATATATGTCAGAGTCTTAAGGCAAAGAAAGGTCAAGGTATTGAATTTGGGTTAGAGGGTACAGTGGCTTTATCAATCTGTGTGCCAACAAGGCAGCAGCATAGGTTTGGACAAAGGTATCAGGTTGTAACAGTGCTAATATTGTACCAATAATTTAAAAAGATGTTTTTCTAAAGAAACAACAAAATTTAAAAGCAGAAGTAACTTTTAGCATGTGTTTTTCGTGTTTGCAATCTCCCCAAAATTTTTCATAGCAAATAATATGTATTTACAAATAAATATCATATCTTAGCATATGGTAAATGGCATTATAGCTAACCATAAGAATTATGTGAATAGAATGAAAAACTGGAGAAGTGATGCTAAGCCCTTGCAGTAGGAGGAATTTAAGATCCTAAAATGTTTATTGAGGATTAAGATCGTATGTGGTAGAAGTGAAAGCACTTGGACTCCAGAGTCAGAGAAGTCTATTATTTAGTCACTTGTTAGCTTTTTAAGTTTCAACTTTCTTATTTGGAAGATGGAGATAATGCTATTGCCTACCTCAGTGGGTTGTTGTGAGAATTAAATGAGAAAATGAGTATAATCTGTCTGGCTTACAGTAAAGAATCGATAAAACCGTCATTATTAGTACTGTTGTTGCCGATAATGTTTTGATCGTGCTATGACTACTCTCAGGAAGGTGAGGATTATATTGTTTTAATTGAGTCTATATGTCAGAGGCATCATAAGGTGGCTTTCCAGATCTGTAGAGACTTAACTTAGTTTTATTTGACATCAGCCACATTATATTAGACAGAGATTTGTGGGATTATGTGCAGTTATTTTGGTTGCCTACCAGATTTCATCAGCATGCATTTC